ATTATTCTTACATCGATAAAATATTGTAATTTATACAGTTTAAATTTTTTGTGTGTTTTTAATCTTTATATGCGATTATGATTATGTTTAATATAAATTCATTAAACTATACAAGTAAATAAATTGATAACTTACACTACAGTACATATTCGGCGAGTTAAAACATATCGATTGATTATAATATATCAAATATATATATATATGTGACCCGGCTTTCGGTATATATATATAATATACAATATTCATGCATAAACAACTGATTGCTCGATTTCCTTTCAACGGCAAATAGGAAAATAATTAAWTTAACCACACTTTAGCACCTATGATGATGTATTAAACTATTGCTCGTGCTGCAGAATACATATTATAATGTACGTGTATAGATACACAACGTTCTTTTAATCTTATGTATAAACTAATTATGTAAAAAATACATTTTAATTAGACATAATATGGTTGGATGTATATAAATTATAAAATTATAAAAAAATATAAAAATKTATATTTATATAATATATATTAATACTGATGCAAGCGGTACAACAAATCGTTTGGTGTAAAAATTAAAGTAGGTATATTAAACACATATCACATAATGTAGCTATATAGGATGTATATTTATTATTTATATTTTTTTTTTTTTGATTCGTGTGCGCATATCCGATATTGTATTTCCCATTATAATTAATATCGTTTAGTTCAGTTGATGTTGTCGAGTGTGTTCATTTAAATGTATCCCCARCGTGGAGTGTTTGGCCTGAAAAAAAATGTAGTCGCTAATTAGACTTTGAAAAAAAATTACACGCGTGAACCACTATAAATGAGTGTATATAGTAGGTATACGTATGTACAAAATATGCATACATAATATTATAATATAATATTATTAACAACACAGTTAATGCGTTTATTGCTGATTACCCGTGCGATTGTAATCTGAGCTGCTGCAGTATTTTCCCAAGTCGTATGCGCGTAGGCCGTTGCAAGTACGCTCTGTATACTCGTACATAGATGCATAACATAGTCGATGTTTAAAAAACAAAATAAACGTATATTATGTACCTACGGACACGCGTATAATACACATATACGTTTATTCACGTTTCGAGAGCGCACGCTGCAAGACGGAGAAGATCCGCGAGTAAAACGTATTTAGTTTGTCGTCGTCGTGTGTATACCTATATAATATCCGAGAGAAGACCCTGCAACAATGTCGTAGCTATATATAATATAAGTATATAACACGCATATTTTATATTAATAAAAAAAATAATCGTACACCTATTTAGTATAGGCATACGTGAACATGCGATATTATTATTATTATTATTACCTATATGTGGAATACTTTTCTCCTTTATACTACGCGTTACAAAAATAATAATGCAAGTGTATTGTTGTAATATAAACGTTATATGCTGCGTACATAGTTATTTAAAAGGTCATTGATTTAAGTGTGTGTGTGTGTGTGTGTGTGTGTATATAAATCGTCGGGTGGTGTAGGCACACGCCTCGCTGCGATGGAGGGGGGGATTCGTTCACGGTGTAATCAATGTGCGATTTAGCCCCTATATATATACAAAAACGCCGTAATAAATAATTTTAACATCGTGCAATACTGTACACCCATCATAGGCAGTAGGTACATTTTATTGTAATCGTACAGGTATAGAAAAAGATTTCATCGTCTCGATCTCGATGTTATGTCTATATTAATCTACCTATATAGTATATATTATATTATATTTATATATATATGTATATACCATTTTCTATATTTTTTAATAAACATAATAAATTGGTTTATTGGTCGTTCGATTTTGTAATATTATGCTTTTCCGAATAATTTTTATTCGTTTATTCGAAAATGATATAATATAATTAATATCAACCATTATACGTGATCATTTCAGGGCACAGTCATATAGGCGCTCAATAATYGTCTCACATTTATAATATTGCAATTTGTATAAAATATAAATACTAATAGTATCTTTATTCTATTTCTTCATACTAATATTGTTAAAGTATTCATGAAAAAAAGTTTTTTTTTTTTTTAATTCGATATATAGACGCTCTGATGCCGTGAGTGATGTTAGATTTCGGTTGATTTTGCACAGAATTGACGTAAGTATACGACATTTACGACATTATATAATATTGCAAGACTTAACAACATACCTAATTATTTTGTYCTTTAAATTTGTCTGAGCGCACGTATGAACGGTATAAGATAAATTTTATGATATCCAATAAAATACATCATTGTATTATATCTATTATTATCTATGTGTCATGGTATGTTCGATGTTATGTAATGATAACGGAATTTAGACAATTTTTTTTTAAGACTTGATTATAATATAAAAATATAATAATGGAGTCTTCAATATGCACTATAAATTATAAAGGTATATACGAGTACACATCACTTCATAAATATTATAATGTCCCTATTTCATCTAAGTACTTCTAATCAYCCGATAGGCGTGTACGATACGGCTAATACAAATAATTATGCACGTAATTGAAATTGACGAAACGATATTGTATATATATTTGTTATCTAAATTTCCACACTGATAACTCTACCACACGGCTATTTAATTATACATCAAACAACCGTATAAACTATAATATACATATATTATTATAAACACGAGTCTACGGCAACATTAAGTCTAATATTATAAAATGATATATTATTATAATGAACACGAAGAAACGAATAATTATATCATCGTCATGTGATAACATTTCAAGCGACCTCTTATTAATCACTGAACCATATCCGTATCAAAACAAATTTATTTTTTAAATTTATTTTCTTGTAGAGTTACCATGTTTTCAATACACCAGAAAATTAACGGTGGCGATCAACATTGTATAATATTATAAAATAAACCATATCGCTGAATAACGAATAACAATAATTTACGATAATATGCGATGAGGTTATTGAATACATCACCTCTCTCCCGTAACATAATAATATAGTGATGGGATTTTCCGCCTGGTAATATAGAATTGCGTGTGTKTGCTCAGGTCACGGATGATAGAAATTTTTCAGCGCAGAGTTTTAGAAACACATCCTTAACAATATTAGTGCGTCCCGAGTGAAACCATGCGCAGTGCACATCAAACATTTAACGTGTGTGCCGAGTATGTAATTTTTGTAAAAATAACAATACTAACAATAATAATAYATTACATTATACTGGAACTTGTGCAGCGTCCGCAATTAGACGAAAACAACTGTTGATAACGTATATTATACTATTATACACCTAGTTGGGATAAACTGCATTTATACAAAATATRTATAGGTACAATATAGTGGTAGGTACCTAATATCAGCAAAACCGTAACAATAATTGCACGAAACAAAAACAATTAATTTTAAGAAAATTGCATAGTAGAAATGCATTGACATGATTTAAGTTTTAAAAAGTGCAACAGATTAACCTTGAAATTGATAAAAAAAAAACTCACTTAAAAATGAAATGTTTAATTGAAGTCATTAACGAAACAGCGACCTCTTCAATAATTAATATCTTCAGCTGAATAAATCCAACAAAATATCACTATACGTATTATAGTTACGAGTTTTATAACCCGAGTAAAATCAAAAAATATTATTAAAAAAAAAAAAAAAAATAGCAAATGGTGACATTTCAAAGTGCTAATTTCCAAATTATAAATCATAAAACACTTTTATTCGATGTAAACATTTTTTTTCCTCGTTCCGCGTTATAAACTTTATAGCCGTAAAAATTCTCGTAAAATGTCGTGCAAAAAAAAAAAACATTGCAAACAGTTGACGATACCCTGTGAGTTCGGTGTTGCTTGTACGACTGCTGCATGATGATCATATAATAATAATCATAATAATTCTAAACGCCGTGGCTTTAAAAAATCCTAGTCCTGCAGCTACTGCAGCGGCAACAGCAGCAGCAGCAGCAGTAATGTAAAACTCTTATTATTATAATATATTGTGCGTCTTCGTATTATTACCTATAACAAATCATCACGACTACGGAGCACGTGGACTACCGCGGTCTCGTATAATATGTTATTTTACACGATGAGATTGCAGTGCTAGATATTGTTATATACGCACATTATATGTATTTTTCAAACATCTATTCCGAGACGCTGTGCACTTGTAACATATCATAAAACAGCGCGCCATAATAATGCGGACGGAATAATATTAACATATATAGATAGTATAATATATTATGTGTAACTCATAAGAGTGCGTACTGTGGTGATGGTCTGGTGGTAATATCTTACGCTGAACCAATAGGCCCGTGTATRTAGATAATAACATATTGTATTATAATATTATTATACAACAATGACCGCGTTCCAAGTGTTGTTTAAACCGTTCAATTCGTCCGTCTGCTGCAGTGCCCGCGAATATTGTAATATATTTACCTATTTATGACGCGTAGGTATACATTATAGGTATAATGATACGTAGAGTTATCTACAGGTAATTAACGCGCGTATATCTGGTACGTTATAATGTATATTATGTATAGATACACGTAGGTATTATTTTATTATTATATTATACGATGTATTGATTATGATGGCGGTTCATAACAAATTACCGGGCAATTCCATCGAGCGTGTGTGAGTTAATTTACAGCGGTTAACGCCATTATAATAAAATAGTACATCGCGGCATTACAAATATATATATATATATACATATTATAACTGCAGTTTATGTATTACTATGTATGTACATATATATCGCGACGCGTTTTGATTAGTGACGAATTCGCGCAACACGGTGATTACTGTTATTATATTTTATGACGTATACCGCGGCTACTTTATGTAAATATTCGACATCGTATATATAATACATTGAATTGTATGTGTGTGTGTGTGTGTGTGTGTGTGTGTGCTCGAGTATTAAACACAAATACGCGTTTAGGGAACGATTATGATTTACCAACAAATTAAAACTCGCGCGTTTCCCCGCGGTCCTGTTTACTTATATATTATTATATATCGTTCGGTTAAAAACGTGTAACGCAGCTATGGTCATGTCAACGRACGTTATATAATGATAATCATCGTATTTTGTGTACGTGTATATTACCTACCTACAATATATACACTATATAGCATGATCTTATTTTCAACGCAGACCTTCAATTATTTCGGAATGTTTTTACATTATTTTCTTTTTTTATTCCATTAGATTCTCGAACSTCATCGGGTATGTGTTAAAAAATTTCTATCCTCTCACTGCTCATACATATTGATRTTATAATAGGCATAATTACCTGCACCGATTTGTGACTTTTAATTAATGTAACGGTATTACCTTTTCATTTTTATACAATATTTAAGTCGAAACGGTAGATATAATACATAATAGGTATATAAAATGCCAGAGTGGTTGTAAAAGTTTAGAAATTGTTTTACCACGCCACTCTAAGTACTACTTTACAAAATAAAAATACATTATTTGGGTTATTGCCAAACTGTCAAAAGCCAAAACTTATAAGCCTTTCAATCAATGCGTTTCGGTTATCTACGCATGTGCTAGTTAGTTGTATATTATCTGAAATCACTTAATAAATAAACCTAATCTAAACATTGAGCCAATGAATATAATATTATACCTAGATAATATATCAGAAGTTACACACATCCACACAATGTTTAAGTCTCGAGCCTCATCAACAAGTATACAATATTATCATTTAAATAACTTAGAAATCTGTAAGATAAATACAACCGAAATAAAAACAAGATAGATAGTGTACTGTATGATGTCTCTCCGATGGACTATTATAATAAAATAGTAGACAAAAAGTTCATAGAAGTTTCATGACATAATACTCCATAAGCTTAAAATATCAACGTGCATAATAATATACATATTTATTATATATATGACTGATCTATAAGATATTATATCTTTATGAATAATATAACAATTGTTGCTATTCAWTGATTTAAAATATTATTAAGTAAATATAAATTGAGATATATAATAATACATACTTTTACTATAAAAATCGAAATTCTATAATATAGTCGATAACCATTTGGAAAWAATTAAAACTTTGCACTCTATTATGTTATACAAATCACCTACAATCGTAAACATGTCTAGGTGCAACAGTGACTACAAATAATAAATAATAATATATCATAAATCATAATATAGGTACTGACGCGAAAATATGATTTTAAATAACTGATAAACCAAGATATTTATAATACCTTAATGATACTTTTAAAGTACAAGTTGGCTGGTTACATGCTTACTATATAATAGAATATACTCAAATATCATCCCCGGAGATTTAGATGACTGTAAAACTGGTATAATACAATATTATACTATACAAGCACTGAATGTATAACTACCGGATGGTGTATTAACACGGTCAGATTAAACTGAAATGGTTTTTTTTTTTTATTTATAATAATAATAATAATATTTAACAACGGATTTACTTTTATTTTAACACACGCGTTAATACACCTCATGAAAAGAAAAGTTTATTCGTCTAAAACATTTATACCACCATCCGCATGCAAGGAATACAGACGAAGCGGTTTGTTATTAAGTATCCCAATAACAATAATAGAAACGTTTTCATCCCGTCCACGTGAATTTACAATACTTTTACGCGAACAATCGGTAAATTTGAAACTTATGCGGAAGTTTACATATATTTTTATAATTAATTCGAACAAATTCCATTTCCGGTTCTAACGTAAACATAATATGAAACAATAATCGACTCGTACCTATATAAATTATTTGAATTGTAAAAAGTTTTTTTATCTTCATCGTCATAAACATATACCATTCTAAATACTGTAATATAAAAACGATTATTTTCAATAGGTACCTACCTACTTGCACCTGATATATATATATATAATGTATGTTAAATACGACATGGATGTTTATTATAATGCAATACCGAAACGTATAATTATTGCGTATTCGTATACAAATCGTGTTCATATAATATATATATATATATATATATACCTACCTATTATGCACTTATTACAACTACTGAAAACGGATGTATAGATTATTAGCTAGTTTTTATATTTTGAAATAACACCGTGCGGATGTGAGAACTTTGTCCAATAGGCAATATATTATGTATCTACGTTACAAATTACGACCGTTTATGTTATATTAGACGAGTGCTATGTGCAAAGTTTATATAACATTACGTTCGGACGTTGGTACGTGAAAAGTAGCATTACTCACTTGGATAGCTACGTGAAATACTTTCAGCGATTATTCATAAACGTCATTATTAATTGCGCATATTATTATTTTATTAATATATTACGATTGGCGAAATACACGCTTGTACGCCACACCGGTCCATCTATATATATGTGTATATACACCTATATAATATATATTGTAGGAAGTCGCATATTATGCATTCACATGTTTGTTATGGGTACGTTAAAATACAAACGATATTGCAGACTGAGATGTGTACGTTTACGTGTGTGTGTGTGCATGTGCGCGCGTGTGTACCTACGTRCTTTTATTATAAATTAAAAAATTGGGCTGCCTGAAATCGTTTTACCGCCTTGCGTGTCATAGAAGGCGCTGTTTGTTGTACGGAAATGGTCTCGAAAATGTCTTAAATGACAAAGATAACAATAGTTTAATTTTTTGTACTCTCGTGATTTCGTATTTATTCTATACGAATATATAATTGTTCGTAATGTTCGCAGTGATGTAATACAATGGTCTGCGGTACATGTATGTATATTTTTATAATCTATATGCCTAAATTGTAGATACCAACCTATACTATAACACAGTAATGGCGTTATGAATTAATTACCTATAAAAAACAAAAAAAATGTAAAAATTGTTAAAACAATAATTAATTTATGTGAAATATTTTAATAGTAACTACTTATTACGGTTGTGTACACGGCTCAGTCTGCATAATTACACGTTTTAAAACTTATCGTGCATAATATATAATATATCTAAGTATATCGTATACACCTATATTATTCCAGTGGTATTATAAATTATAGTTATACGACGCGACGAGATTGAGTCTAGACCGATACACGAAAATAAGCAGACGCAAACAATAATATTATAATATATAATATATAACACGAGTATAATATATTATAATACGCAACAAACACGCGTTATAATGACCGTTTGACACGAATATTTATACATAGGTCCAACCTTTTTGCCGTGATATCTCGATGTGTATAATATAAAACGACGGATGGACAATTAAAATACGCGACGCCGTTTGTAATATAGGTACAAAGTATACGTACCTCTACCTATAATTATTAATTGTAATCATTGCCTTACACTCGTTTTCGTCCTGCACGGGTCCCCAAAACCCTAAGTTTACCAAAACGGAGACGACATTGGTGGGTATCCGAAACTTAATTTTCTTGTAGCGCTAGCGTACAACATCATAATCGAGTGAAAACGACACTAACAGAGTTCGATCCTAATATAATTAAATGGTGGCCATGGCTTAAATCACGGGGAACGGCGACAAGTGTCAGGCTCGCAGTATTAGGTAATAATTATTGTCGGCGGATGCTCAGCGAATACGACGATACACATTAATATTTCACTATCGTTGATAACCGTTTTCCAATTGCCAAACAATGACGCATGGAAAGACGGTAAGTCACCGGAAATGATTTCTCGCGAGTTCTTCCGGCAGGTTTGCGATCATCAGTTGATGCGCGTAATGATGTTGTACCGCGGCTGTAACGATACAAACTACAAAGTCATTTAGTAGTAATAATATGATAATGTTATGACGATCATCCATTGTGGGCGCGATCAGCTGTGCAGCGTGTGCACGTATTCCAAGGTCAACGGCTGACCCAATTGCCGGGCCATTACCCAGAGGGTCGTAACGCATTTTCGACCACCCCCTTACCACAATCGCTACGATATTATATGTGTGTGTGTGTGTGTGTGTGTGTGTGTGTGCGTGCGTGCGTGCGTGTTATGCGTGATACGTATTAAACGAAATAGTATGTCGGTAATGGCCGACGACCGGGTGGGGGAACGAACAATAAACCGAAAAAACGCGAAACCATCACAGTTTTTGTCCGACAGATGACGCGTTCGTTGACACCGTCGTCATCGGTCGCGGCCCGATCAGGTATAAGTGGTACAACAACTTACTCTGATGTGTTATTTATACGGATGTCGCTGTCGCGGCTCATCTCATCTCTTGGCACGATATTATAATAAACCTATCATGCACCTATAGTAACGATAATATTATTATCGCGCGATCGTCGGATGCCACCGACAATAAATTTAAAACCGAATCAGATTTTCGAGGAAAAAAATAAAACCCGTCTCAACGATAAAATACTAATAAACATCACAGACCAGAGAGACGAGCGCGCGCGCGCTCATAAAAACGGAATCCGACGACGCTCGGACTTTTATTAGCTGTTAACGGGGCCCCCGTGTCGGCGGTCGACGATAATCGTTCGACAAGCGCCCATACTTATTATAGCCTACTTATTTTTTTCTCGTTTATTTTTTTTTCACGTTTTTAAGTTTATATCGTCATTATTGGACATTTTTATTATTTTTATTACACCAGTCCGTCCTCCGCGTCACGGGACGACGACCACCGCGCATTTACATGTATATATTATAGAATATTATATACATAAACTATAAACACTAATACTCGTATATACATACGCTGCGTAATTCGGTAATCGTACTAGTGGTTGTTATTATTACAGTAGTAATAGTAGTTGTAATAATAATAGACAATAGTGTAGCGGAGTAATAGTTAAACACTTAAACCGTGATAGTATTATTATGTAGTAGGTATAAAATATATTAAACGTGTTGGTATACGTAAAACGATATGTAAATTTGCGCCTTAGACTCGCGCGTGTGTGAAATATGTACTTGGCGTCGTTACTTATTGTATATACACTAAAAATATTATAATATTACAATAATAGTTTAGACGAACGGCGGCGGCGCGTGTCACGGTCCAGATGTTTTATATAGTATTATTTATATATATATGTACTATAGTATATCGTGCATATATATACACAAAATATAGGTACTTCGTGATGGGTAGCCGGTAAAGAGTAAGCCGCGAGATTAATTAGAAACAATCTAATATTGTATTATGTTTTTCTATTATTTGTATTATTCTAGTTTTTATTAAGCCGATGACATTCGTTCATTAAAAATACACAACCTTTCTCAACGAGCAAAACCTTGAATGAATTTCGTTATACACGACACACACACACTGCGCCAAGTCGTCGACAATGAACGTATTTCTGCATTAAGACGCATAATATACAGTATCGTACTTGTTTATATCTAAATCAGCGTTTAGGTATCTTAAAAGGTTGGCACCKAGCTTATACATACATAGGTAATACACTAATAAATTATATGATGTACCTATGCGAGCCATGCTGGCGTATATAATAGGCACAAAGAATAGAAAAATTATAAACCATAATATGAGATATGACTTTTAGGTAATTAGGTATGTACTGAATATAATGAACAAATGCAATTTAAATCTTGTTTCGATTACAATATTTTTTTGACATACGGCAATAAATTATATGTCTCGAAGTAGTTCTAGATTATGATCACGAAAAACTAATCGATTCACAGATCTAACCTAACCTGGTACATGTTCAACCTTCTGCGGTTGCTTATCAAACAGTTTCTATATGGCCCTAGAGCTGTGTGTGTATTTAATTTTTCCTCATATTTTCGTTTTTCAATTTCTGTACATCAAAAGAATACTGGCCTTTTAATTAGAAAATTTTAAGTTTTAGTTTTTTTAAAGAAGTTTTATTTCATTTATCTTTTCTACATTGACCGCTCATCAGTCTTACGACAGATTATCATCACACATCATCACAGAAAATAATATAAATTTTGCTTGTTTAAACGAAATCGTCAAATGGCTTCTCATAACCTACACATGGCGCATAAAATATATTTTTAAATTCACACACACTGCACATAACATGCACGCAGTCTATTTATTATTTTTAATCAATTTTTGTTTTTAACCGTATTTAAAAACATTTTACGACTAAATTATATATATATATACCTACGTTTAAATGTGTATAATGTTCACAGCTAGGTTTCAATTTAGTTTTAATAATTCCATTGTTTTATGCAAATATGTCGGAAGCGTAACAGTTCAAACGTAAAAAAAAATTAATTTAACAAAGTAGTCAGCCATCAAAAACTATATATAACAGACCTGAAACATAATTAAGGAAATAATTAAATTAAATTTTGATAAATACTATACATAAACTGTTAATTTACCTCTGCGGCTCTGTACCAGTTAAATGAAGAATAGTGATATCATAACACTGCAATATTGTTATACATCTGTGTATCTATAGGTATTCCGCGGTGTTCTGCTGGATTCTCTAACTCGTTCATTCGACAAATCTAAGACCACACAATAAAATAATATATTTGATTTCTGTAGGTATAATAAGCAAATGTGTACAATGTAATTTAAATAATTTTGAACGGACATCAGTGCGCTCCGTCAAAAATGTATATAATCATTTTTTAACAAGCTGCATGTAGTATTATCGTGTTACAAGCCGTTTGTCATTATCGCTGTATCGTATTAAAATACCTAATAGTATAGGTTGAATATCTATTCATGAAACAAAACGCTTCTCGGACGTACCTGTATAATTTACGGTTCGTAATATACCTACGGTAAAAACGCATTGGTACACGACGATGGCCGGCGGGACCATGTAAAATAGATATTTTCGATTTACAATATATTACGTTATGATATATGATATGTTTTATAGGCGAACGTCCCGTCGCGCGTCTATATATAATATTATGTATGTACCTATACGGAATAACAAAGCGGTCTCTTAGTTTGCGGCCATAGGCATCTAATACACACACACACGCGCGCGCGCGCGCACGCTCAATATCGCTTACTCTCTCAATCTCACACACACACACGCCCGCGCGCGAATAGTTGCGATTTCGTTAAAATTTTAATTTAGTCTTGCCGARAAGGTATATGAATATTATGTAGGTAATATATACCGAACACGTTATATGGGCGCAATCAACGTCGTGGTTAGTGGCTCATTTTACAGGGTCACTCGTACACATCTATAGAGAGAGTTTTATAAAAACCTACATACATATAATATATTATGGAATATCCTATAGGTATGTATTGGAAAACGCGATTGACAATGCACCGACTCGGCCTTGGATCGCGGAACGGATGAACATATATAACGAACTACTCATAATAATATAATATACCTATATTGTTAAATAATATTCACTCGCACGAGGCGCACCTAAAAATGTCTTGTTTCGAATCCCCAACAGGTCGTGTTATACACGGAGCCCACATACGCGCGCTCCCGTGTTCGTTCACATACACAATTGCGGGATTTATTGATCACCCTTTCCCGAAATATAAACCACAAACACACATACACACACCCACACGTTTATAAATACCATACATATGCGCTTTCGCAAGTTTTCCAATGCGTATCGCCGCAATCCTCTTTTGGAGTCCGGCCATAAATCCGTTTCCATAACCACGACGGTGGCGGCAGCCACGACGCCGATGTACGCTCGCTAATAGGGTAAAAAAGGAAATAAAATTCCCACAACGTCCGTCAAGTAGGTATAACTCGTGTGATGGGATACCGAGCATAGAGAACGAGAGAAAAAAAAACAATAATAAATAAATATACATTGTTCTTATGATTGTTGCAGTATATTATATTGTGTACATATTAATATACTATTTTACATTATTACTTGTTATGGTGGTAGCGGTCATAGCGGTGTAAACCAGTCGAACGGCGGGAATGTTACTCGGAGCGGAAAAAAATGGAAAATAATATTTATAATATGTAAAAAAAAGTATACACATGTCTATATAAAAATAAATAAATAACTAACAACAACTGCAGTAATTAAACTCGCGACTCGACTATAACGATTTATAACACGTTTTCTTTCTTTTTCTCATTTTTCATGTTATTGCTTTCGGTTAATTGCTTATTATTATTTTAATGTACATGACGTGTGTAACTACACCGATATTATTAAACGGCGTTTTAAACGTTCGCAAATGGCGTGCAAATAATAAAACGTCGTTGTAATAAACCATCGAGCGGAGTACGTTGTGCCGACTTCTCGGGCGCTGCTGCAGCAGTTGCCGCCCACAAAGTATACCTATACACTATTAATATATATATACCTGCAGCTGCTGCGGTATATACCTACACCCTGCAAGTGCATAAGAAATGCACACGACCCGTATTGCGTGCACCAACTTTTATGGTTTGCTATTTTTGTTATAATATGTATTTCGTTTTTTTTTTTTTTTTTTTTTTTTTTTTTTTTTTTTTTTTTTTTTTTTTTTAATCGTTTTGACCGAGCTGTCCATTTGATCGTTACGAATAGCAGCTATAAAATATTATCATATCGCGTCGACTATTGCAAACACTAATCAAAACACATAGCCACATAGGTATTATTAATTAATACCGTATCATACCGAGTGTGATGACATAACGCGATATCATTGTACGAGTATATTCAGGTAAACACGTGAAATGGCTGTGGCACGTTTCGTTGTTTCAAGTTTGATCGGCAAAACACCTAAACAAAAACAGTATCTAACGAAAAAAAAAAGCGCCGTTTAAAATACATATTACGCGTGTATTATAGATGTGTGCAATACAGGTACTTATAAACGTGCTAAAACATGGGCAGTAATGTAATATAATGTTATAATATATACCTGTAAAATTTAAATATATATTATGTAGGCACCCACCTACGTCGTTAAAACATCGTAATATATACGTGCGCACGCCATTAAAATCGATAAATATGCGACGAGTGTAATAACGCATATACATAATAATTAATTTGTATAAATATGTGTTTTTTGCACGCCGATTTTGACGTGGCTCTGTTAATTGTTTATTCAATCAACACGAAATTAATATTACTGCTATATTAGGTACATACGTACACTATTATAGTATTATAATAACGACGATTGATAATTAATAATAATAAACAATATGCGCTATAAAATATTGATAGTAAATTAAAACGAATAAAAAACAATTTTTCACAGTATATCTATACCTATGTTTAATACACAAATATTATCATAACGACCTCAACTGTTCGAATAACAAATAATTTGTGAAAAAATCCTACCCAACAGATAAAACTGCTTGGACGAAGATAAACGTGAATCGTTATTATTAAGTGTTGAATATTTCGCGTCAGATTTTTTTAAATTTAAAATTTATCATCGAATATAATATTATATTAATGATTATAAAATATTAATTAACAGTAGGTTAAATAAAACTATTATACTGCTATATCATAATAAGTCTATCATTATTTTATTAATCAGAAATCGGCTTACCTATATTAGCCGTTACTGGCTAACATTTAGCTCCATAACGAAATGTTTGACTACTGAAACCGAGTAGGTATAGCTAAGTAGGAATCGTAAGTGCAATAATACTGAATAGGTATGCAATAGTTGTGCAGCATGCGTTGAAAACCTGTAGCAATCCATTAAATTCACTAATAATTGAATCGAAGGTGCACATTGTAAAATATGATGTTCTGAAAAAAAACGCAAATTACGAACGCGATTAGAATTTTGTATGATAATATATGTACAGTTGAATATTTTAACATTATTATTACGAGTATTATACATATACGATTGAGACAACCCGTGTTTTTCTTATAATAAATTATATCTGAGCATATATTATGTGTAGTACCTACTACCTATATCTAGTACCTATATATACACTCGATCATGRTGGGAACATGAAAATCAACTAAATTAAATTACTATTAAATGATGTATTGCAATACGCAGCCAACAAATGTTTTATACTTAATATATTAATATAGTTACTAGTTAGGTTTAATGCGGCTATATGATATGTATGTATCAACGTTGATTATAATATATACGTTATAGATAAACAAAATACTTGCATGCATACCATTATATGGTGAATTAGGTTTTCGAGCTAAAAGACGAATTTATTATTATAACAATATTTTCAAGTGTTGTTATAAAAAATCAAATATACAATTATACGTGTATGCATTCGAAATTATTCAATAATATTCATTATGAAATCTCCGTATGTTTACAAATCGACTGCAGCAAAAGCAAAACACAATGGTTTTGAATTATTCAATAATTACTTAGCAAAAAAAAAAAAGCTATTGGATTAAAATATTGAATTAAAAGACCTAAGGTTGATTTACTCTATATAAGTCGTCGTTGATATAAAAAAATACAAATATAGGTCATTTTGTGTTATTCAGTCGTGAGTGGTCGATGGCGTTATCAATATCAGCCTTTCAGCAATTATACGTATATATATTATATATAAAGCATATACCTATTATTTCAAACGATTTATAAATTTTTTTTTTACATTGGCCACCACGTGTTTTATAATATCATATCACAACATAATATTCCCTCAGAGGTACCTAATCATTATTATTATTATTTCAACGGTAATCGATCAGCGGTAGGTATATCCGTAATATATGTATATGATGAAGCTATACCTATGTATAATATATTATAGGTTTTCAAAATGTCCGCATTTTATCCTACGCCTTTATCGTCACAGTATTATAATACAGGCACATCGTTTTTTATAAAATTATAAAATAATATGTTTTGACAGTATATCCTATATACAACGCTTATAATATATGTGTAGATCTTGTCAACCAGTTTCCGTCGCTTTCGACACAATATTTATTAGAAAAAAAAAACCCGAACTCCAAGGCGCCGGCGACGCTGCCGGTGAAATCGTTCGATTATTTTCCAATAAACACGATGAATAATATACGTCGTATAACATGTATACCTAGTAACAACGCAATAATCGCCTAGCGTTAGAATTTATAATATTAATACACTAAATATACGTGTGCTAGCTAAAATAATACACCGCGAGCGTATTATCGATTTAAAACGAGAAATTTATACGTTTTACGCGCCGCAAAAGGGTTTACAATGTATGTAAACGGACTCGGCGCGCAATAGATTTCCGGCCGAATTCGCGATCGCGCGCGGCAGAGTTATCGTTAAAATATGCGTACAATAAGCGTATATCAATTATTATAATAATATATATATATATACATGTATATAATATAATTATTACGGCCGGGCATCGGGAGGCATCGATGGATTATGTGTGATTATATTTAAATTTGTCGCTTTTCCGGCGTTTCAGGCCGAACCGAATAACAAATTGCAACAATAATAATAATAATAATATTAATATTAATTATATAGTTGAACATGTGTGCAGCGGCAAGCGGCTGAGCGTTTTTCGAGCAGCGCTAAAAGCCACGCGAAACCCTCTCGTAACACGTAGGTACAGAGTGGTCATGATGGCATTATCGTGAATCTGACGGTATCTCGACAAGACTACATAAGACAATTTTATGTTCAGAAAATGTAAATATACCTACTGCTGTTTTAAATTTCCCCATGACAACCATGTAGGTAGGTCGTATAGATTACGTCCAATTAAAATTATCAAAAAAAAAAAAAAATAATCGTTTCAAGAATTCATCAAAACGTTTCCTAAAAAATTGCCCGTCCGTTCATGATTAAACAATCGTCCTGTATGTATTATTTTCGTGTATAATGTGTGCATTAAAACTTTCGTAATCCGGTCATGTATCAAGTAGCGTACACCCGCTTCCGTGGTGGCGGTCAAGCGACGGGCGTGCGCGAGTCTACCCCGTCGAGGTACGCATAGTATTCAAATAGGTGTATAGGTGGACGTGACGTGCCGTGGCCGAGGACCTTTTTCCGACCATGTGTGCGCTCAACGGGTATGTGTGTATGTGTGTGCTTGCGTGAGTTTCCGACCGAAGGACCGGAAGGAAGGAAGGAAGGAAGTGACCCCAATTATACGCGCGATGTGCGCGTATGAGTGTGTCTGTGTATACGCCACAAACTCACACATATATATATATTATAATATAATAAAATATATCACTGATATCATGCCGCCATAAAATAGGTAATAAATTGCATGTTTATACAATATAAACGAAGTCCAAAATACGTCGCGAAATGTCACGCGGATTTCCGGATAACGTGTCGAAGTGCCGACTATATATAGTATACTGCAAGTCCTAAACACGCGGTGCGCACTCGTCGACGAGTGTTTGGTTGATGTGTACGTCGAGTATGAAAATATTATCATCGGCCGCGGGTCGTCGAGGAGTCGGCAGTGTGGGCTTCCGAAAAGTTTTCGACCGTTATAATAATAATAATAATAAGTATTATTATTATTGTATCCTTGTTGTTTTAACGCGAACCTCGTTCGGGTCGAGGACCGCTCGCGAGCCGGGAGAAAAACGAGATTTACTCGATCGTACACACCGCGGTGTGTAATGTCGTTAAGATAATAATATATTACTATAAGCGACAAATTAAATTCCGGTTGACCGGTATGTATAGTGTGTGCGTGTGCTTCGATGCGGGGTGGTGACCACTTGGTTTTGAGCAAACAGCCTTATCGTCCGTGCGCGGTTGACTTCCGAGGAAAACGATACTACATGCGCATAAATATAATAATATTATAATACGAGTAGGTACATAATAWATTATTATCTAGRCGCAAGAGAGTGGACAACGGCCTCTCGGACTACGCGATAACCACCGGTGCCGCTGCCACTTCCTCTTCGTATGCCCTAAATCTTGTGTTTGCAATAACATAGTACGACTTGTGTACGTATATTAGAATATAATATACATAATAGCTACAGTTTACGATATATTATAGAGTGTTGGGCTATTAAGTATGCAGTGTGACCCGTTCTCCCGAAATTCGTGTTCCTGTTGTTCGTCGAGGTGGTCGTTATTTTATACGTTGGACTAGGTGTGATGTGGTCTATAATACGCGTTTTTACGGCTGCGGAACTGAGTATGTTAACGATATTTATCACTTGGATTGTACAATCAATAAATTAATGATAGTTGAAAGAGTACGAGTATACAAKAAATATTGTATACGAATTAAGTGAGACACATTATACGCGCGCCGTTAAAATTACGTTATAAAAATCATAATAAATTAAATGCCATAGCGTAGAATGTTTTTTAAGTATTCAAAACAACTAGCTTAGCTCGTGTGCGATCATCAAACATTTAAACCTTATAATATATAGTACCTATGTACAATGTTTTATTCAACTGTGATRTAGACATAAATCCACCTGTATACGTAGCATTCAAWAGTCATTTAAAAATAAATTTATCATGTAATAATATATTWTCCTATCTTCGGATCACATATAATTGTTATCATTAATTAGTACAATAATAACAATTACGATCCAATTTGCCTTGACACATTAGACACATGCACGTCATATACAGCGTTCYATAYATGTGACATACAATTTATACGAGTATATAAGGTATTTTTATGTAAAGGATTAAAAATCAAATGTTATATAATCGGTTTGCCGTCGATRGAGATGGCTAATAAATCCGTTGAACACGCGACKCATAAATGTTTATAGTTTATATTATGTTTTATGTAATAATGCGATGTACAATAATAATTTTGTTGTAATATTATAACAATATAAAGTTATGTAATCARCTATAAACATTATCTATCATAATCATAATAAGGATGAATCGTCTKGGTTTAATGAGCAAAAATKTGCAGGCGCCACCGATAAATGTTTTTTCACTTCATTATCTAGTTTAACAATAACAGAATATATTATGTGAATTTTGTTTGATATATATTACAACGCAATGCACTCGTTTCGCAYAACTTTTATTATAAATTAATTTATTCGCGCATGACGTTATTAATTAGTGATTGTCAGTGGATTAGATTTATAATTTCCTCGTTCGCCTTGATCGGGTCCAGTGCGGAATCGCTTTGGTTTAGCATGCATACTCGTTAAATGTTCCGATCATMGGTGGCGATATTTGGAAATATGTTCACATTTATGCGTACGAATTCGAAACCGGTAGTTTGCCTACGTGACAATAATTATGGTTACACGGAAACCACTCGTGATGTGTGATAGCTTAAATATGTTAATTTTTTTTTTCTAAACCAACGTTGTTTTATTTATTTTTTTGCAAATTACCGAAAAGATTCTTCTCGTGGACCGCGGTAGAATTGAGAATTGAAATTTATAATCCACAACTCGGTAAATTTGTATCGATAATCATTTACGGCGACTCGCGAATTATTATACAGTGCGAAACAAATTGCCTCGGGCGATGAAGAAAATTATGTAAACTAAAGAAAAAACAATACTAATATTGTGTAATGAAACGCATGTAATATTATATTGTGTCGGACGTACTAAAATATAATATAAACACGCCTAATATTATTATGTATATTTTACGAGAATTTATATTATTACACGCGAATGACCTATGTGCGCGTGGGTGGGGGGCGGGTGTGGCGGTGTGGCGAGGCTTTTCGGGTTTCGTGGCACGGTGCGGGAGGGACGGTGTGCGTGTGTCACCCCTTAAGGGGCAAAATGGCAGGGCCCGGCGGCGAGCGGCTGCCGGACGGATATTTAGCATGCCCAGGAGACCCGTTTAAATCAATATAAGAAACCCTCTTATAACGTGTATACAAACATGTATACACACACACACACACACACACACACACACACACACGCACGCACACAAACACATACACATTCATATATATACTTATACATGTATAAATCTCGTCGCTCGCAATATTATATATTATTATATGTGTAATAACGTACAGTGTGCGCTCTATTACGGCCTGGTGAGGATGAGGTTAAACCACSTCATGTTCATTWTCCATTGATGAGGMAGCAATAATAATATTGATAATAATAATAATAATAACAGATTCGCGACTGCGGCAAGGATAAAATTWTTTTTAATGCGTCAACCAAGATTTACACATCGTAGGTACGCGTTATGTAATYATACCTATCTGTAATATATACCTTCTATAGGTTAGGTTAGGTACCTACTATATTAAATAGATACTTTTAAGCTTTATGGAGGTAGGTGGCGAACGGTTTACTGTAAACGTATAAATATAGTGAAACAAACTGCAGCACTTACCGGTGGCGGGCGGTGGCGTTGAACGGTGGTGACGGTGATGATTCCAGCGCGGACGCGTTCGACGAAATGCGACGAATTTCAACTAAGGGCTAGGTACCGTACACATATCATACATGTGTGGGTACGTGCACTGTCATCGGCATTATTGTGCCCTGTATATACAATAATACACGAACGCACKCACGCACGTCGGGCAATAAATTACGTAAAGTGAAAGTTTCCAAAGGTGAAACTCGTTTTCGGCATCCCCTTTGTTTGTCTTTTGGACACCCTCAGGTATATAATAAYATAATACTGTATCGTCCTCACAATAGGCCTCACCCGGGGACACCGCCATCATTGCCACTGCACGCGGTGACTGAAGCGGCATATATATGCGCTGTGCCTACATTGCGAACTCGGGTTGCACACGTATGCACATATATGTGTGTGTGTGTGTGTAGGTATTATAGGTAGGTCTGTACCCCTAACCTCGAGACCCGTTGACAATGCCTGCATTTCGATTCTGTACGCTCCACGATCACCGCCGCCGCCGGAGACTCGTCCGACTATCCAAACAGTAGCGTTAGACCTTATTGAGTAGCGTGAAATCGGTTTTACGACTTACAAAAAAAAATCATTTTTAGAATCCGGTAGCAAATATTTCGACACATTTTTGTTCTCATTTATGTTTTATTTGCGCACTCCGTATTTTTTTACRCGTTCGCGTCGCTACAGGACGTCTTATTGTATTATGTTCTGTGGTCATTTGCAATCAAAATAACGCGTAAGAATTTTTTGTTAGCTCGCGGACGATACGCGATTTATATTTTACAACCTTTTTTTAGGCACACTCCTTGAAAACCAATCCGCTGTCGATTTGATCGTAAACGGTTCCGGTACTTGATATAGTATAAAGTATAAACGTGTACGRAGCTGACTGTTTAACCGCTGCACCGATACGCGATATACCCTTTTATGTTATAAATTTACGAGTGTTTATAATATGAAGAAGTCGTTCTTCGAATGCTCATGGAATTTTATTATTTATTAGTTTATAATTACTTTATATTATTACAAACAGTTCACCTATATAATATTATTATTGTACGTATACACACAGGTATGTAATATGTATAGACGACGGTAATTATTTCCTACGGCATTTTCAAAATATTATCGGATAAATATATGTATATACACATACCTATATGTACTTATTACTTTGATATATATTATTAATTATAYGATAGTTACCTATTACAGATTTATTATACCTTTAATAAGACGGTTCGTATTATATATATATTATATATGCAACACAAGAAAATTCGTCAGGTCGCGATGATAATAATAATTAACGAGTACTAAATTAACACTCGTTTATATTAACACGCACTCGCCCCACGCAGCCTTAAATACATTTTATGTTTAGGATGTGGTGGTAAGATCGGTAGATTCCGGCGGCAAGGTGAACGCGTAATTGTATTTCACAACGACACTGTACACAACTATTATAGTGCTCACGTACTACATCTATACGTGCCGGAGTAATTTTTCTACCAACGATGTGTGARATTTTTTTAAATAAAACAAATTATTCTATAATCAGAAATTAGAACATACACCCAAATGGCCGATTAACACCGTTGTAATATAATATACGGGTCGAAAAACGTGTCATAGGTTTTCGGAAGGCTTKAAGTGGTTATATAATATACACCTAGTAGGTCGGATACCCAATGATTTTGATCGTTATTTTATTTATTTTTTCTTGCATTTTTATTCGTCCCGCGACTGTTCCAAAATTTCAAAATATTCTAATATTTTATGTTGCTGTGTAACTGCGTTATTCGTGAGAGTCGAATGGTAAATGGTTTTTGTATCACAAACTCGTTTTTGCTCTATTCGGCCGCAGTGTGGGGGTGGTAGAATTACTTTGGGCAATACATCACCGGTAACATCTCAATTAGAAAGAAAGAGAGAACCGTCCGTTTTTTCTTCCCTTGCCGCCACAGTAACCGACAACTCTATGCCATGGTTGTGTGCGTGTGTGTGTGTGTGTGTGAATGGCGCGCGCGGTTAAAAGTCTCCGCGCTCATGTCCATATATATACGTATATAGGGTTTGATGCATGGCCTCGCGGCCCGCCCTCCGGTCGACCATTTGTGCGTGTGTGCGTGTGCGTGTGCGTGTGCAGAAACTAATTTCTCTCCAGACAACATATATATATATATATATGTATAATATAGAACGGAGAAAAAGTTTAAAGCTCGCCAGCCCGGGTGGTTGGGGTGGGAAAAAAATACAAGTATTATTGCCGCAAAAACTAAGATCGCATATATATAGCCATATAGGCACCCATATATATGTGGGGGAAAAATTAAAATTGTTTCCTATCGTAAAACAACACACACATAATATTCGCGCTCTGCGTATATATATATATAAATAATAACGCGTACACATATATATATATGACACTTGCGTAAGCCGTTCGGACGCGCGTGCGGTAGATTCTTAAATATATGACCGAGTGAGGAATGCTTTTCGCAGGCGACGTGAAAAGTCGAGGTGCTTGTGATTTATTCTCTCCGTTGCGTGTCCCTGTTCGCGTTGTATACAGACTGAAACTTTGAGAGTTAGAGGCAGAGGGAGAGAGTGAGTTGGAATGAGCGGACAGAGACCCCTTTGGTATTGTGCCCAGATTACGCCAAATTGTTCGGCACACACTCGCGGACACGGCAATATAGCATCCCGTAGGCGATGTATGGACCCACACGGTAGGGCAAGTGTATACAGCGTGCTCGTGGAAATTCAACCACGACGCTAGGGAGTCTATATATATTATACTGTATGATGCATGTTGTATTCACATGAACCCATAAGTATGTATGCATAATATGATTGCCGACRAGTTTATGTCAGGTGCMTGCGCAGTCTCCGGTTTTCTCTCGCTCTGTATACGTATAATACGAAACGATGTATTTATTATATGTATGCCTATATGTGTACGACGGTCAACGTGTATCATCATCTTTATTATTATTACTATAATAATACTATTATATATATATATATATATAATATATGTTCCGATATAATTATTACACGTGCACTGTTGTGGTATATATCTCCCCCATGCGCGCGGCCATTTGATCTTTAGCAATTTTTGTGCGGAACGTGAGGTACTTATGTCCATAAACCATTTGCACCCGTATTCGCTAAAGGGAGTGGGTACTTAGTGTGCAACGTAGAATAATGCGCCAAACGTGGCTCATTCGCGCAAAGATGTCATATAGGCACGACACGTTTCAATGTTTATAGTCACACTATATAACATAGTTTATATAYATTATTAGTATGTGTTAAAATATCTATATATGCATACGACGGTCATGCGTGACGACAATGAAGTACCGAATTTTATGACAACCGGTTTTCGTTTTAATTACTYGTACCGTTTTATACTAAAACACTTRGGCACGATATCAAAATAATTAATAGCAGCGTCGTTAGTTAAAATTAAATCTCATTTTTACCATGTTGTTAGTTCATTATGCACGGAACTTTACCCCTGCGAATATAATATTAATCGTAGATGATAYATATTAAATTGATCAAACACCGGAGTTTCGAATAATTCCAAAACGCAAAGTGACATCGTCACGTGCCGCCGCTTACATCTAAAAAGAGCGATGGCAATTTAGTCGCTTTGGAATATTATTATTTATTTTTATACAATATACATCATGTATATAAACATTTTATATCCAACAGAAGGTACATATACTCACGCGTTGCGGAATACTTGTTGGAATTAACAGCGTCGTGAAACGTGCAGGCGCAGTACCTATATACTTTGCCCGTATTATGTGTATATATAAAATTATATGTATTATATAAGTATGTATGGTGGGTACGTCTCGGAAAGTTATTGCCGAAAAAACGTTGAATAAACGCGGYGAAGTGGCGATAAGACAAACCACGATGCCCGGTAATGGATTCGTGTGTATACATAATGAGCAAAGTATTCACAAAAGGAGGCGATAGGCATTGAAAATATGAGTGCATATAACTCTTAAAAAATAAATAATATATATATATATATAATCCATACGAACACACACACACACAATACATATACTCCACCCCGGCGAAGGGGGTTCGCGCCGATGCAATTTTTTCCTACATATATATACCTACCCTGCCACAGCCGTCGCGCGGGAGCCCGCGATTTATTGCCGGCCAGATAAAAACCGTGCGGTAAATCATCGCCGGTACACAAAAGGAGCTTTTACTTTATTTTTTTTTTTAAACGATTTAATTTTTTCTCCGCCTCTCCTCCTAATTTTATTTCGCGTTTTTTATTTTTGCGCTCGCCCGATAAGAAGACCTTTTTTTTCTCCGACGGTCCCTTTAATAAGTCGACGACGAGCAGTATGCGCGCACGCTATATAATCGTCGCGCGCTGGATACCGAGAGAATAATATAAGGAGGAAAAAAATAACTCCAAGGTGGTTGTAAGATCGGTGATCTTAATTGCCTGTACTTCGCCCCGGCCGACGGTCGTCGCCACCCGGACGTTGCAACGGCGGTGGCGTGCAGTAGAGTTCCTGCAGCAGCACCGGTATTACATCATATATATACGTTTCTGCGTATTGTATATATTTATGTGTGCGTATATGCGTATATATACGGGGGAGGTTATTTTTCAAATGATAAACGTCACTGCCCCGCCGCCACCAAGCACCTTATAGTCGCTAATGGAGTTCACTGTTAAAATAATTATTACAACCCCCAAAACAAATTATTCTATAATCAGAAATTAGAACA